TTATAATTTAGTTTGAACTTATAGGAATGTTTATAAAGACAGTTAAGTGTGTGAAATGAGAGACAGCAATCTAACTACACAGCTTCACTTCCGGTTTTTATTATATTAATGTAGAATCTATGAAAACAATAAAAATGTCTGTGATGGTTGCATTTCTATATCTGGACATTCATTTCACGTCCAAGAGATAAATTTTGTTTAATGATTTACTTTAAATAATATGCATTTTCTGAGATGTCAGCTACGTTAGAATCACAGCATCATCTCCTTGAAGAAGTCAATGTTTGAATAACCTCAAAAGGGGCTGGGCACCATGGTTCATGTCTGTAATCCCAGCACTTTGGGAGGCCGAGGTGGGTGGATCACTTGAGCTCAAGGGTTTGAGACCAGACTGGTCAACATGGTGAAACCCTGTGTCTACTAAAAATACAAAAAATTAGCCAGGCGTGGTGGTGTGTGTCTTCTGTAGTCTCAGTTAGTACTCAGGAGGCTGGGGCAGGAGAATTGCTTGAACCTGGGAGGCGGAGGTTGTAGTGAGCTGAGATGGCACCACTGACTCCAGCCTGGGTGACAGAACAGGACTCTGTCTCAATAAACAAACAAACAAACAAACAAGTAGCCTCAAAAGCAGCAGCATGAGTATAGGTGTAAATCGGAAGGGAGAGAGAGAGAGAGAGAAACAAGGAGAGACCATTGTGTTACCCCTTAAATTCCTGTTGGTAAGAGAGTGTTACAATTGCCCAATAACAATATGTTCTTTTCTGTTATCATGAAACACTTAAAGTTTGGATCACATTTCAAAAATATTTTCTTTTTTGCATTACTGATGCTAAAATACAGATTCTAAAAAATAGTTTAGGTGAGTTGAGAGAACTGAAGAATTGAAATGTTGATTGCTGAGCCTCTGTAGACCAGCCTTCTTCCTACACAGGTCTGGAGTACTCATCATATTTTTAGGTGTAAGAATGTGCTGTCAGTCAGAAGGGTAGGCAAATTATAAGCATTTATAATTAACCCCAAAGCACTTTAAAATGTAAGTATCATTAGTAATATATCAAAATAGGAAAGTGGTCATTAAGCACTCATGTTAATTGCTGTCTAGTCATTGAACCAAGCTAATATGAGATGCAGCAATGAGCAACTTATATAATGATCACAGGAAATTGAGATTTAACTAAGCTTAATTTTTAATATGCCACTTGAAGCAGATATTTAATTTAATAAATAGTAGCATAGTGCATTCTCTGTGAACTACATTGACAACAAATTAATATTAGGAAAAAATTCAAAGCAATTGGGTATATCTTATGGATAATAATTTACTTTTAATTCAGGAAACATCTAGTGAACATTTTCTTTGTGCCAGACACTGTGCTTGGAACCTTTGGTACAGAGAGAGAAAAGACCCAGAGCTTACAATTAGGAAGGGAAACAGAGAAGAAACCCAATTTTTATAAGACGGTGTGATAACAGCTATGATAGCAGTAAACTGAGCACTATGAAAACGTTGAGAAAAGACATTTAACTTAGCATGAGATGCAGGGAATGGCTGATTTTGGAAGACTTTCCAAAGAAAGTAACAGTTACAAGTAATTTACATGAAAGTTAAAATTGTTACTATTCTAAAGGCTTCTGTCACTACAAGCTGTTTTGCACAACTCCAGCGGGGGCATCATCCACATTGCAATCCATGTAAATGACACTGTACTCCAAGGAATGCTTTTCACATTAAACACCATGAGAATGGTACGCCTAGAATTGTGCAACCTGGCAGCCCTGCTGGACTGATTTCTCCAAGTGAAGCTTATTATACTCACTTTATTTTACCCCAAGGCTAATGTAATTTAATCTTAAACTCAGAGATTTGTTTGCCACAGGAAAATGTAGTTGCCTACCTCTATTTATCTCTCTGTCTCCTCAACTACTTCCTTCCTCAAATTTGCCCATTCCATATCGTATCTAGTTGTGCAGTTACGACTGAGCTAAATGCTCCCTCTCTTCACCACATGCATAGAACTGAGAGAGTGCCCACCTTCCCCATTCTCAAATTTGAGACTTGAGAATGGTCTTGTCTAAGAATGTTAAGGGCTTTTAAACAGAACATTTTAGAGATTTTGTGTATTTGTTCAGCTAATGTGTCATTAAGAAACATAAGTTGGGAGTTATACCTGATGTAAATGACGAGTTGATGGGTGCAGCACACCAACATGGCACAAGTATACATATGTAACAAGCCTGCACGTTATGCACATGTACCCTACAACTTAAAGTATAATAATAATAAATAAATTTAAAAAAATAAAAAAATAAAAAATAAAAATAAAATAAAATAAAATAAAATGGTGATGAATTAAAATTTCATTTATGAAATAAAAAATGCCAGCATGGCCAGATAAAGAAAGAAAGAAAAAAAAAAAAAGAAACATAAGTATCAACTATTAGCCCATCACCTAAATAATAATAAAGTTCAATTTCCATTATGAAAGGAACAGCTTGCAATTAAGAGAAGTGAAAATGTGTGAGCCTGTGTGTGTTCCAATAGTGACTCAGTATATATTGAGAAAACTCTCACATTCATGCCTGTCACTCACATTTGCTGCTGCTGTGGACCTCTGAGTAGATGTTTTCACGTGCTCAAACACAGTCCTCACATGTGAATTGTTCCTAACGACTTGGGGTGCCAATGAACACTAAGAACTTCTTCTCGGGTTGAATTCTGCAAGAACAGATTACTGTATATGATAAATTTATTGCTATGTAATGGAGATGTGTCCTGGAGGTCTTTTTAATTTCTGCGAGTAGGATGTTAAGTTTCTCAAATGGAGGGAGAGGTTCATAGTTGTATTCTAAGATGTGGAAGAGCAACTGAAATAGAATCCAATAAGTAATTGTTGATCATACAATGAATGAGAAGGTAAAGAGTTCTTTTCTGAATAATCATGACTTGTAGTGAAGGCTTAAATTCTTTGGTGCTTTTAGCTTAGACTATTTGAAATATATATTTAGTATAGAGAATTCTTTTAAAAAATTTTGTCTCTACCTTGCAATTACTTTTAAAACCACTAACCTTTCTATGAAGTCAGATAAGCTACCCTCACCTTGCAAGGTGGCATGATAGTGACTGAAGAAATGGCACAATACAAGGAAGTAAGGCTCTCATTCTCTCCTCTATTGAGGCAATGCAGAGAGAAAAGCTTTTTTTTTTTTTTTGAAATGGAGTTCTTGTTCCTCAGGTTGAGTGCAATGCCACGATCTCAGCTCGCTGCAACCTCTGCCTCCCAGGTTCAAGCGATTCTCCTGCCTCAGCCTCCCAAATTGCTGGGATTACAGGTGTCTGCCACCACACCCAGCTAATTTTTTGGATTTTTAGTAGAGATAGGGTTTCGTCATGTTGACCCGGCCGGTCTTGAACTCCTAACCTCAGATGATCTACCTGCCTTGGCCTCCCAAAGTGCTGGGATTACAGGTGTAAGCCACCATGCCCGGCCAAGAAAAGCTTTTTGAAAAGACCGTACTGGTAGCAATATAAGCCATTGTCCTAGAGATCCTCAGGAACAGGAAGGAGAGGTTTCTAGGTAGGTAACTTTGGAGAAACTATAACAATAGTGACTCTTCCAATCCTAATTATACTAAGAGATGTAAGTGACCCCAAAGAGAGAATGAAACTCCCACATAAATAGTTACACCCAGAGATGGGGCAGTTGGTATTCTTTAGTGATGACTGAAAACCTTCCTTATGGAATTGACTGTGTTAGTGTGGAACTCAGCACACAGCTTGGGCCAATCTTGTAGACATAAAAATAAAATGTAGAGACTTCCAGTTTAAGCTCTGACATGTAAAGAGTTTGGAAGTCATAACTCCCATTCTTTTAAAATGAGAAAGCTGCATAAAAACTGAAAATAATTTTTCTTAGACCTATCAGAGAATTGAAGTTGCAGAACAAACCACCACTCCCAAAATATGGAGAGAGGAAAATATAGAGAATTATGGTCGATTTCAGAATACATGGGGGGAAGTTGATGGAGCCCTAACCGGGTGGAAATTCTTAAGATGTATCTTCGATATATTATTGGAGACAGTGGGGATTAGGTTGAAAGTGAGAACTTCCAGGAGGTTGCATTATTAGTGGGGACTCTACACTTTCCTGGGTTTTACTGCTAGGCAACTTACCTATATTTCATGAGAGTATCTGAGAAAGATACAATGGTGACACTAGCAGGGGAAAAGGACAAGTAAACACCTTGAAATACCCCAAACGGTCTTATAAAAAAGGTTTACTCTCCAGGGGAAAATATCTTCCGAGGTTTACTAACCCACCAGAATAAGGGTCATTTCATCCACTCCAGGCTTTTCTACTCTTTCTGCCCTGTCTATGGTGGGGAGGGAAGCTAAGAAACACTTGTGAAGGCCACAGCCCAGAAATACAGGCTCACTAAAAGACTTTGATTGAATCATAAAGTTACAGAATACTTCCCCTCTACTGTACCTTACCATGATACCAACAAGGCTTAAGGTAAAACAGCGATGTATAGCTTAAAGAACTGCAGGATGCATGCTCTTTGTGGAGGAGTACTTTGGGAGCCCAAAGGCAACAGGATAGACAAATACTAGGGCACTACAAGAATTCTATAGCTAGAGTAAACATTAAATACAGCCCAATTTCTAGCCGGAATAACACAGAAACTCCCATTACCTCAGTTTCTGTTGCCTGATGTATCATGTTTCGCTTTCTACAACGACAAAAAAATTTCAAAGCATGCTAGAAAGCAGGCAAAAACAGTGAAAAGATATATTAAAAAAGCACTAGAACCAAATCAAATATGACACAGATAATAGCTCAAGGTATTTAAAATATATACGATTAATATGTTAAGGGCTATATTGGAAAAAGGAGACAATATCAGGAACAAATGGGGAATGTTAGCTGAGAGAAGGAAGCTCTAAGAAAGTATCCACAAATGGCTAGAAACCAAAACATTGTAACGATAATGAAGAATACCTTTGGTGGGCTCATCAGTAGTCTGGAAGTGCCCAAGAAAGGTGTCAATGATCTTGATGACAGAGAAACTTCAGAACTGAAATGCAAAGAAAAACAAAGAATGGAAAAAAGAAAACACAGAACATCCAAGAATTGTGGTATAATTTTTAAATTTGTAACATATGTATAACCAGAATACCAGAAGAAGAAAAAAGAGATAATAGAGCAAAAGAAATGTTTTAGGATACAAGGTTAATATAGAAAATCAACTGCTTTCCTGTATACCTTTCCTTATACCTATATACAATCAATGCACAATTAAAATTTGAAATAAATTAATACTTTTTAACAGCATCAAATATTATCTAGGTATAAATATAATTTTACAAGATTTATATAAAAAACTGTAAAACTCTGATTTTAAAAAATCAAAGAAAATCTAAATAATAGCAGAGACATACTGTTCATGGATGGGAAGACTCAACTTTGTTAACACATTAATTCTTCCCAACTTGAGCTGTATATTTCATGCAATCTGAATCAAAATCTGAGGAAGATATTTTATAGATAGTGATACACTTCTTCTAAAGTTTACGGAGAAAGGCAAAATACCTACACTAGTCCACACAATACTGAAGAAAAACAAAGTTGGAGAACTCACACTACCCAGTTCCAAATTTACTATAAAGTTACAGTAATCAAGACAGTGTGGTATTGGAAAAAGAGTAAATATATAAGACAACAAAATGTAATAGAGATTTTAGAAATAGACTCATAAATAGAGTCAACTCATCTTTGACGAAGGACCAGAATCAATTCAAGAGAAAGACTAACCTTTTCAATCAATGATTCTGGAACAATTGGACATCCATGTGCAAAAAAAAAGACTCTAGACACAGATCTTATACTTTTCACAAAAGTTAACTAAAAATGAATCATAAACTTAAATGTAAATGCAAAACTGTAAACCTCTACAAGGAAACAGAAAATGTGGGTGACCTTGGGTTTTGTAATGAGGTGGTAGATGCAACACTAAAATCATGATTCATGAAATAAAAAATGTTGATAAGTTGGAATTTATTACTATTATCAACGTATACTTTATAAAAGACTCTTAAGAGAATTAAAAGACAAGCCACAGACTAGAAAAAATATTTGCAAAATGCATATTGAATAAAGGACTTGTATTCCAAACATACAAAGAACTCTTGAAGCGCAACAATTAGAAAGTGAAGTACCCAATAAAAATAAGCAAATGATCTGAATAGACGTTTCAATAAAGAAGATGTACAGATGGATACCAAGCATACGAAAAGATGCTCAACATTATATGTCATTAAGGAATTGCAAATTAAAACAACAATGAGATGCCACTACATACCTATTAAAGTGGATAAAATACAACAGACTGATAATACCAAATACTGACAAGGATGCCAAGCAACAAGTATTCTTTTCCATTGCTTGTGGGAATACAAAATAGTACAGCCGTCTTAGAAGACAATTTGGTAAGTTAAACGTAATCTTATCATACAATCCAGCAACTGCACTTATAGCTATTTAACCAACTGATTTTTAAAATGTATGTCTCACAAAAACATGCACACATATGTTCATAGCAGTTTTATTCATAATCACCAAAAACTGGAAGCAACAAACATGCTCTTCAATAGGTGAATGGATAACTAAATTGTGGTACATTCATACAATATCATATTATTCAGTAATTAAAGGAAATTACCTATCAAACCATTAAAAAGGCATGGATGAATATTAAATGCATATTGCTAAATTTAAAAAACCAAACTGAACAGGGCTACTTTCTGTATGATTCCAATTATATAGCATTCTAAAAAAGATAATGCTAGAGCAGCAGTAAAATGATTAGTGGAGGGCAGTGAGACTATTTAGTATGATGCTTTAGTGGTGGATATGTTACCCTATGCATTTGTGAAAATCTTATAGAACCTCACAGCACAAAGTATAAACCTTAATGTATGAAAATTAAAACATATCACTTCGGAGTTCAGGGATCCCAGGATGGAAAGCAGGCTGTGAAAAATACAATCTACATATATTACAAATTATAGAACCATCTCACTGAAGATGGTGAGGAAAAATGTGCTGACTTAAGCTAAGTACCTTTAGAAAGGAGTGCAGTCTGAAAGGTTAAAGGCAAAATACATCGTACATAAGCACTGTGCTCTAGTTCATAACATGGTCCCCTGTGGAGGTATGACTTAGCAACACTGACAGTGCTATAAATGCATATGAGAACTGAACAATTAGATAGAGGTTTGGCAGATAGTAGATGACCAGGTTTTTGATTGTTGGGGTGGGAGTTTGCAGATAAGCAAGTAGAAAAATATATGCCATGTAATAATGGGTCGGAGTTGGAGACATTAATATGAACTCATGTTTAGTTTAATATGGATAAATGTGATTACATAATATGTGTACACACTTAGGTTAGTATACATTCATATATCTCACTACTCTGTCACTTGACAGGTCCTGGAAACAATGATACCCTAGTGGCAACAAATATGCCGAGTGCCCCGATTTTGGTTTTTAATGTTATTCTCCAGTAAAAGGAACCAGGGTTGCTTTAATAAATGGCTGATTCTGGGGCTAGGGTAGGAAAAACAAGAGATGAGCCTGGAGAAACTTGCAGCGCTGGAAAGTAAGGAAATGCTTAAAAACAAGACAAAACAAGACACAAACCAAACACAATTTGGGAATGTATTAAAGAGACACAGTAGCCAAACAAAATAGCTCCACAATGACCAAAGCTGACACAATTTGAGCAACAAAATAAAGTAGTAACAGAGTATGACCCAAAGTATAACATAAACATCCACAAGTCTACACTGATATAATGAATGATTGAATAAAGAAATAAATGGAGGAGAAAGACAGTCTCTTGTGCAGAATTGTCATTTCTCTGTTCAAAATTGGAGAAGGAACATAACCTCTCACAGCATTGTGAACTGTACATAGAAACTTCCTTCAGAAGAGTACAATATGAAAAGACAGAAAAGTAACTTGATAGTAGAGAAACCTGAAAAACATACCTTAGCCAGGTGATCAAAATGATATATTGACTTAAGATGTATTGGAAATGGTACTTTACCTCTATGATTTCCCTCTTAAAAACACATTACTCCAGTCTAATCAGCAGAAAAAAAAATCAGAACAATCTCAATTGAGGAACATTCTACAACAAACCTGATCAATAATCCTCAAAACTGTCAAGGACATGAAAAACAAGGAAAGTCTAAGAAACTGTTACATACAGCTCAGTGGAACCCAAGGAGACCTGAAAAGTAAATGTAATGCAACCTACATAGGATGCTGGTAAAAATTGGATAAAATGAAGAAAATATGGATGAAGTTTGCACTTTGGTTAATAATAACATATTAATATCAATTCACTAATTGTAATAAACGTGCCACATCACAGTAAGCTGTTAATAATAGGAGAAATTCGGTGTAGAGTATATGGGAACTCCTCGTAATAGGTTTGCAATTTTCTAAGATTGTTCTAAAATTTAAAAAAATATATTATTTTAAAATGTTAATTATATTTTCAGGTCTGTGAAAACTACATATTTCAATATAGAGCTCTAAGCAATAACCTGTAGAAGAGTTTGTGTGTCTAAAGGCTAACTGATTATTTAATAACACTAACAAATTGTTCCAAATTATATGGTTCAGGCATTTATTGTAAGGAAACGTAACAGATAAAGTTAGAAATTTTGAGTGGAGTTATTTTTTACCTTCTTAAGAAAAATAAATAACTATAGGAGACTGGAAGAAAAACATGCATCACTGATTTAGGACGGAAAAGTGAAATAAAAGTTGTTTCATTTCTCAAAAGTAATCACCTCTGGACTTAAAATAAGCCAGCTTGCACTCCCATCTCTCTTTAAATGAGGGAATGTGGTATGAAAATAAAAGTCATAGAATTTAAAGCAATGCCATAAGAATATGTTTTGCTATGTGTATCAGACATACATACTTTCTCACAATTCCATTTCTCAAAGGCACAAAACTATGAGTGTATAAGAAGGGTAAAGAAAAAGAAGCTTGGGTTTCTTGAGTAGCTCTTTATGAACACACTTAACGGTGTCTGAATAAAATATGGGTTTACAGGTTTTTCCAGTGTGAAACATCTTTTGAATATAACAAGTTTAGCAAAGACACTTGACATAATAGTAAGTTTACTTTTTCACATAGATTTCTTAAGAAACTGTGTTGCCATGTGGATTTAAGTTCTGATTGTAATAACTTTGTAATCCATCCCAGGGATTTATGGCCTGCATCTTAAAAGCCATTGGAATGACTAGATATTTTGCATAAAAATTTCTAATATACAGTTTTTACTAGCCACATGGAGTCTGAAAAAAATGACTTCCAGCAAGATCAGTTTTATGTCTGTCATGTTGTCTGAGTTGATTTCAAGAAGATCGCATCACTCATTACCTATAAAATGTGTATGAAAGATCTATGTCTTTATAACAGATAGGCATGACTGATATTTAATATAAATATTTTACATACATTTTATTGTTTCACTTAAAAGCACAACAGCTGGGGCAGGGGCATTTTATTATTTAATATAATATAACATCTAAATAGTTAACATATGAAAATATAAATACTTGCCTGAATGTCTAGGTTTATTTTGGGGATTTCAATCATTTATATGAATATAGTTTTTCTGATAAATTTTGCAAAACTCTAAAGATTAAAAAATACCATGCACAATTTTTCCTCCTGTTTCTGCCCATGTTAAGGTAATATGGATCTCCATTTCTTTCCTTTCCCATATTAACAGCTGAAATTTCTAATAAATTTCTTAGAACCAAAGAGATATTTTTATCTCTTGACACTGTAACTCTTCTAAAAGAGTTATATATTTTCTTCTTGACTTTGGTCTCTAGGGAACTCAGAAATCAATTAACAACATCATTTAATGTTTTTTTTTTAATGTTTCCAGCATTTATGTTTACTTAATGTAATCTTGAGCAAGTTTTAAAGTCTGAACATCATTAGCCATTGGCATTCATCTTTTTTACTTATTTTTAACTATCC